TATTTATGTATATATTTATGTTTATGCTTACTGATTGTACCAGATGGAGAAATGGTAAATAGCAATGTTCACTTATATTCAATTAATTCATTTAGTCAAAAAGACAAAACAAAAAACACTTAAGAAATAATAAAAAATTTTGCCAAACTACTTAATCAGGGTTTGTTTTCAATAATTGTATTCTTTTAATATCAAAATTAATTTGAATTCATTAAATAAAAACATACTCATCATAGAAGATGTGTGATATTTAAGTTACTAAATAGATTTTAAATTTGATTTAAAAAAATTATATCATATCCCACAATTACATTTCCACTGTGACTCAGAATTTGACAGTGAACAGTTACATTTTTATATAAAATTAGGAAAATGTTCATAACTGAACGATACTTGATGAAAAACGTGATTAAGTCATGTGACCAAAATGTAGCATACTGCTATTTAAATATTATTACTGTATACTGTTAAATAGTGTATACTGCCCAGTAAGCAGTATGCTAGATTTCAACTACAAACACCAAGTATGCTTCAGTCTGAAATTCATTCTGTGATTACCTGTGTCAGTCTTCAGACTCAGTTCCTGCGGGATTGTCTACAGTTACAGGCTCCACCAGCCGCTCATACGACACCACCATCATGATCTGTCAATCATTCATAAGGAGTTAGACATTTACCTCAGAGTGTTTTCATACTCTCATGTGTGCACTAGCTGCTCCAGACAGGCACACTTGTGCATCTGGACTCACAGTGAGAAGGGCGAGCAGACCCATCATCAGCCCCAGCATCACGTACAGGTCAAAGGTCAGACCGCCCGCCCAGAGAGGTCCGAGAATGGTGCCCAGTCCTCCGACAGAGCGCCGAATCCCCTGACTGAACCCTGAACACAAACACAGGCTTGATCCAAACAAGGCCTGAGCTTCAGCAAACCAGGAAAACTAGAAAAGTTTGTCACTTTGTATGTTGCTTGACAAAGCTTCACCTAAAAGTTGTTTGCACAAAGGTGTGGTCGGAATAGGGCTGCACGATTAATCGAATGCGATTGTCAGGCACATTTTGTCAGTAAAGCCACTTCTGTGATTAGTAGTAAATCTCCAGCACGTGCTTTCAGATGGAGCAGCATTTACTACACAGAGCCATAGTTCACTGACAAGCTATGCAAAATCGCGTTCATAATCGCAGATTTAATCGCGCGATTATGAAATCGAAGAAATCATTCTGCGATTATAAAAGCTGTTTGCGTAGCTTGTCGTGTGTTTATTAGTCACGTTGAATCAATGAAAGCAGTTAAATCTTCTGTTTATTCAGCTACCGCTATAGGCATTTCCTGGGTTTCTTCTGTGAGGCGTATTTGGAGTTTAAGCGCGACAGCACCCTCTGGCCTTCGGATGGAGATTTACTGCTGATCACAGAACCCTGCTTCACTGAACGATACGTATTATAATCGCAGCTTCTGCCTAATCATGATTTATCGCCTTTGCGATTTAATTTCGATTAATCGTGCAGCCCTACTATGTTAGCTTGTTTCCACCACTGAATAAAAAAAATATAAAAGACTGAGAAAAGACAGAATTGCGAGATATAAACTAGCAATTGCGAGAAAAGTCAGAATTGCACGAAAAAAAAGTCAAAATTCCAAGAAAAAAGTTAGGATTGTGAGATATAAACTTTTACAATTACGAGAAAAAAGTCAGAAATGCAAGAAAAAAAGTCAAAATTGCAAGAAAAAAAAGTTAGGATTGTGAGATATAAACTTGCAATTGTGAGAAAAACATCAGAAAAAAGGCAAAATTGTAAGAAAATGTCAGAATTGTGAGATTAAAAAGTCAGAATTGCAAGATATAAACTTGCAATTGTGAGAAAAACATCAGAAAAAAGGCAAAATTGTAAGAAAATGTCAGAATTGTGAGATTAAAAAGTCAGAATTGCGAGATATAAACTTGCAATTGTGAGAAAAACATCAGAAAAAAGGCAAAATTGTAAGAAAATGTCAGAATTGTGAGATTAAAAAGTCAGAATTGCGAGATATAAACTTGCAATTGTGAGAAAAGTCAGAATTGCAAGAAAAAATTCAAAAAAAAAAGTTAGGATTGTGAGATATAAACTTTTACAATTACGAGAAAAAAGTCAGAAATGCAAGAAAAAAAGTCAAAATTGCAAGAAAAAAAGTTAGGATTGTGAGATATAAACTTGCAGTTGTGAGAAAAACATCAGAAAAAAGGCAAAATTGTAAGAAAATGTAAGAATTGTGAGATTAAAAAGTCAGAATTGCGAGATATAAACTTGCAATTGTGAGAAAAGTCAGAATTGCAAGAAAAAATTCAAAATTGCAAGAAAAAAGTCAATTGCGAGAAAAAAGTCAAATGCGAAATATAAACTCGCAACTATGAAAAAATTCAGAGTTGCGAGAAATAAAGTCATAATTGTGAAAAAATATCAGAATTGTGAGAAAAAGTCAGATTTGTGAAAAAAAAGTCAGAAACCCGAGATAAACTCACAATTGCAAGAAAAAAGTCAGATTTGCGAGAAAAAAGTCAAATGCGAAATATAAACTCGCAACTGTGAAAAAAGTCATAATTGTGAAAAAATTATCAGAATTGTGAGAAAAAAGTCAGATTTGTGAAAAAAAAGTCAGAAATGTGAGATATAAACTCGTAATTGTGAAAAAAAAGAGTCAGAATTGCGAGGAAATAAAAATAAGAATTTTAAGATTTTTAAAAAGTAATTTTATTTTTTATTCAGTGGTGGAAACGGGCTTCCATAAATTATCAAAAAATGTTGGGCGAAAAAAAAGATTAATTGTCAAACTGAACAACACATCAATGTGACCAACCCATTGAACTCGTTGCAAACTTTGCATGTAGAAATCTTTCACCCTCAAGAGAAATTCCAGATCGCTTGGATTCTTATTGAGTCGCTGAACAATGGTAAATGTGACCGTGCCTTAAGTGTTCTGACTTGTTTCTAGGCACTTACTAAGCAGCTACTCTGTTCATAGGACTAACCTTGTGTCTTCTCTGATGTAATTTTGGAGAAGAGAGACACCTGGGCGACTGCCACAAAAGGAAGGCCCAGGACCTGAAGGAAAACACCAATGATGAACTCCGCCAGCTGCCATGCAAATCCTCCTAAACCAAAGAATCATTTGAGATCCGTGAGGGATTTTACAGCTGATAAGCACAACATACACAGTTCTGTGTGTTTTTCTTACCCTGAGGATTGGCCAGGAAGATCAGGCACCAGACACAGGAGATATTGCAGAGGATGAGGCCGACGGCCAGCACCACTCGCTCCGCCACACGCTTGCTCAACCAGCGCACGAACAGGAAGCCAGCGATCACCTCGATGCCACACAGACAGTACATGATGCTGTTCTCCAACTCGCCGAAGTTAAAGAACTTCTGTGTCAGAGGAGTCACCATAGTCTAGAGGAACAACAATACTAAATATCATACGTAAGAAATAATTCTTTGCCATATAGTGTAGTGCAAGTGATTTCCACCAGCTATAAATGTGAATACCTTTTATTTTCCAAATCAATTATTGAATTTGAAATGAATTAAACGAAAAATGAGAATTCAGCTTAAATTTTCGTTTTTCGTTCATGGGTGTACAAATGAATAAACAGCTTGAATATTCGATTTCTACATGTGGGCGGGAATTAAACACCTCTTTCTGCTGATTGGTCAGCCGAAGATCAAACCGTGCCTTCATCAGTTCTTCCGCAGTATCACGCAGCAGAATAATAGTCCTCTGCTGCTGCAGTTGTACGGATTAATAACCCATTTTATCAATTTCATATTTTTCTCATCAAACAGACTAATAGCTCGACACAACTCGTACCGGGGCAGAGTCTAGACAGGGCTTTCTTCTGTGTAGACCAGCGGTTCTTAAAGTGATAGGGGGTCCGAGAAATAATTTGCTGTAGCCTAAAGTATTTCCAGACTGTAAAGTAGTTTTTTTTTTTTATCATGATACATAGGCCTACTGTGATTTATTCCAAAGTGACTTATATGATGCATTTAATGTAAAATCATCTAAATGAAGCCTTTTAAAAGACAAGTATTCTCTGTGGTTCATGTTTGTGGCATGCGCCAGAAAGATGCTCAAGGAGACCGAGACGCGCTAAAGCAGCACATTCTGTTGTTCTCTTTCTTTTTCAAAGGCATGAAATTTTTGTAGTTATTTTGAACGTAACATTACACAATTAAAAATATACATTTTACCATACAACTATAAATTACAGAGTATTAAATTATTTCCCCTCGATGGGGAAAAAATCCAAGTGAACATCAATCAGTACTCAATATTAATTTAAACTGCTTTAAATATGACTGCTGCTTATTTCCTGTGCACTTCTGCTCTTGACTGTAGTCGCGTCTGTCTGCTTATTGAGTTTATTTAACCCATCGCAATTTATTGGAACTGTGTTGTTCTAAAGGCTTATTACTTAATAACACAAAAATGTCCTGCTCCCACTTGCCAATTTAATGGCAGAGAATGGTGACTTTAGGTTTTGTTTTTGTTTTTTAAGCGGATGCATAACTGTCATAAAATAATCCTATGCATCTCGTGGCGTATATTCCAAGCATTCTGAAGGTACAGTATACTGAGGGTATAAATCCATATAACTGCAGCAGTGGAGGACTATTATTCTGCTGCGTGATACTGCGGAAGAACTAATGAAGGCACGGTTTGATCTTCGGCTGACCAATCAGCAGAAAGGGGCATTTAATTCCCGCCCACATGTAGAAATCGAATATTCTAGCTGTTTATTTATTTTTCCACCCATGAACGAAAAATGAAAATTTAAGCTGAATTCTCGTTTTTCAGAAAAAAACAAAAAAACAAAAAAGAGCCGTTTTCTCATTTTTCTACTTTCAATATTAAATCAAAAAACGAATGATATCCATCTTCTGTACTGCACCATAAAGGCAGCAACCACCAGCTCAGTTCATTTTCAACAGGAGAGACGGGGCTAGAATTCCAATTCAACATTCTGTGAAGTGTGTGGAAAAATTCAATTCAAATCCAATCAAAATTCAATTCAAATTCATCCAGTTCAACATTTGATGGCGAGTGTGGCCAATTCAATTTAATCCCAACACATGAACACATGCGCGTGTGTGTGTGTGTGTGTGTGTGTGTGTGTGTGTGTG